TCTTCAAATGCCTGGTTTTTGAACTCCAACTCATTGTTATTACGAACCAACTTTTGCAATTGAAGCTCTATATGCCTTATGAACACTTTGAGCTTGGGAGTGGCTTCATATTTCTGTTTAAGAAAATAAACCCAACTGAATCTGGAAAAATCATCCACTATAACAAGAATGTATTTATTACCACCAACTCTTTCGATTGTAGAAGGACCACAAAGATCGATATGCAAAAGTTCAAGTGGTTCAATAACTTTTGTATTGACGATTGTGGAATGACTCTTCCTGCTCTATTTTTCCATATCACAGGCTATGAAAAGATGTTGTTTATCATACTTCAAGAGGGGCAGAGCCCACACATGATCATCAAGAACTATCTTGTTGATGTCTTTGAAGTTTTAGTGCGAAAGTCTATGATGCCATAGCCAACTGTTGTCTGATGAAGCTTTCACAAGTAGACAAATACATGGATTTCCTATAATGTGTTTTAAATCAAGAGGAAACATCTCACCTTTTCATTTTGATTTTATGAGAACGTTCTTCGTTTTCTTCTCAATAATTTCAGATCCTTCATCATCAAACAAAACTTTCAGTCCTGTTCCAACCACTAGCTATGAAACACTGATCAGGTTGTGTTGCAAGCCTTCCATATAAGCCACTTTGCGAATAGAGAATTAACCATTTGTGATGATTCCATAGCCTTTGATTACACCCAGAGAATTGTTTCCAAACTTTACTCTTCCTCCATCCTTCAATGCTCTATACTCTCACAGTTCCTCCCTACTACCTGTCATGTGATGTGAGCAGCCACTGTCGATATACCATTCGGAGTCAAATTGCTTGGCACGTATCACCTGCAAAAATCAATCAGATTTAGGAACCCAAAGTTGTTTGGGTCCTTGTGAGGTTTTCATAGAAGTAGGAAAAACAATAGATGGATCAAGCAAATATGCTTGTTTTATTAAGGTTGTGCTATCTTTCCTAGTAATTTGAAAAACAATTATTCTTTTGTCTTTTAGAGTCATATCCTTTGAGGATATTTTATGTCGTTGAATTTTGTGTTTAACAAATTGCTTCTCTTCTCTCTTAGACCTAGTTTTGGGCTTCTAGATATGAACTTTAGGCTCTGAAACTATCTTTCCTTTGACTTTAACATCTTTCGATGCAATAGGTGAGTTTGAAACATTCTCATTAGTTTTTGATTTCTTCATAGGCTTTGTTTGATTTTGAAACTTTAGTTTTGAAGCCTGTGGAGTTTGAGACCGACTTTGTGAAAAACCTTTAGGTTTCGTAGTTTGAGAGATTTTCGATTTTGGATTGGAACGAGTGGATTTTTCTTTATGAACATAATTGGAATTCTTGGATTGCCAGAATTGCTTTCTTTCCCTGACATTTTTGTTATATCTTGCATTCCTTTGGCGTTTCTGAGCTGATAATTACTCAGATAACTTGTGGATGTTTGCCCTAGGTTTCGGCTCTCTTACAGGAGTTTCGTTCTCCACTGATGTGGTTTTGCATGAAACATCCTTTGTTCCACATGGACATCCTTTTTCGTAGCCTGATGGATTGTTGAGTGGTTTAGCTACATATCTTCCTTTCACTCTCCAAGAAGTCTTTTCGAATAGATGCACAATTTTGTTTTTCATTGTCGATTGGAGCAGACCAAAAATACTCATCACATCTATCTTTGTTATGTTCATTGACAAGGGATGTTAATTCAGCAGTTTGATTTTATCTAGTCCCGTGGTTGCGAAAACTTGATTTGAAACAGTTTGAACATTTTGAAAAGAAAAATCTTTTTCTTACAAAGATTTTGGTTTATTTTTTGAAAGACATGCGAATTCTACTGAATTATTAGAGATTAGTACTTTCACAGGTTCAGTTTCGTTTTTAACAAACGTTAGACAGTCAACCTCACATTCTATAGAGATTTCACTCATATCATTGTCATCGTCGAATTCAGATGTGTTATCAACATTAAGTTTATTATCTAAACAAAAGGATTCGCGAATAAAAGTGCTAATGCTACAACCAGGCCATAAATGGTTTGAACTCAATGAGTTAAATTTCTATACAGTGTCAGTTTTGATTTTCAGTTTTTCATTCTCATCCAAAAGCTGCTTTATGTTCTTATGTTCTTTAGACTTAATGTATGTTTCAGTTTTGTTGATTCCTACCCTGTAGGCATCTGAAACTTCATCATATGAGATGATGGACTCACATTTGTAGCAATCAATGTTGATTTCATCTTCCTTTAATTCAATGAATAGTAAGATCATTTTATGAATTTTCTTACCAATTTCGCAATCAAGATGCAACTGAGTAATATTAAAACAAAGCCTTTTTGTAGTTAAACAGAAAATATTATGTTGTTTCAAAAGCATTAAGTTGTCTCGTTGCAAATAAACAAGTTCATACCTAGACTTAGAAATATCTGACTACAACTTTTCAATCCAAATGCGTCGTTCGTCACTCTTTGACAAAACCCTGCTGATTTGATCGGTTACGTTAGAATTTGTCAAGCGAGTTTGTTTCAAACTATTACTGATACTAGAAAAATGTGAATTTCAACTCATTTAGTTCAGTTTCGTAGCTGGACATAGGTATATTAAGAGATTCGAGAATGGAGTTTACATTGTTGATCATTTGATCACATTCACTGATTTGCTATAAAACTGGTTTTGCAGCGAAACAACTATCACTCCCACGTCCACTATCAGTTGCACACCTACGCATCTGTGACACATCATTTATCACCATCAAGCATTTTCCTTCAAGCTATGAATCATCATCTTTCGCAACAAATCTTCTACCATGAGTAGGCCTGCAAACCTCCTCATCTTTAGAATCGGTGGACTATACTTCCACCCTGCCAAACTTATCATCAGTTTCATTTTTCTGCCAAATCAAAGTAGGCATAGAGTTATCAGCATTCTTTTTCTTCTTTATTTCTTCAAGATTTCGTAGATGGTAAGCCTCATCATGTTCTCCATCCTTCTTCTCGTTCAATCCTCTCAACATGCACTCCTTGGCTAAATGATTTTTGTCGTGGAAATAGTTGTAAGCATAACTGGAGTCTCCCATGAGTTTCTTCTCTTTCTTGTCTTCATCCTTATGCAAACCGTTCGCATTTTACTCTTTCACCTTTGTAGAGATGTAACTGCCATGCCAGTTTTGGTTCTTGTTCTGGTTGAATTTTTCCTTTGCAAACCTCTTTGGATTCGACACCATCATTGAAAACTCATCTTTAGATAGTTCGCAATCAGAGAGCTCAAAATCTAAATCATCATCGTCCGCAACTTTTTACACTTCAGTATAAGGGCCAATGATCCCATTCGTGAGACTACTTTCACTTCTTTAGTCACTTCATCTTCATGTGACTTCAGAATGCCAACAAGCTTGGCAATTGTATAGTTCCTGAACTGCTCATGTGCCTTAACTGTAGACACTACCTCCTTCCACTCTGATCGAAGTCCATTCATAAACGTCACCTTTTGTTCGATTATTTCATGTCCAATGCCATGTTTCATCATTCTGCTGAGAAGATGATTGTAGCTGTTGAAGGACTGACTTAGACTTTTTTCAGGCTTCTGAAGAAGGCTCCAAACTCCGAAAGCAGGAGTGTTTGAATAGAATGTTCAATATTTGCATTTGCAGAGTATAATTCCTTTAGCGTATCCTAAATGGATTTGGCGGTGTCACAAGAACTAGCAAGATGAAAAGTATCTTGAGGAAAGGCAAATCGAATGATTCTCATTGCCTTGAAGTTACTGACCAACTTGTCCTTCTCATCTTGAGGGACATCCTTTACTTAGAGAAGAAGTTTTTTGTAATCAGATAGAGTCTTAACGACTCTACTAGTTCCAGTGTGAACAAAAGCACCCAGAGTGGTAGCTTTGCATATAAGATAACCATTATCCTCCAAAACAAGAACGCAATCTTCAAAGTGAAGTGCCCGGACTTCATATTCATTAGGAAACAGGATATGAATCCTTGTGGTTGATCCAATACCACTAGACAGATTGATGGAGTTGATGTGAGAATCTTCGTGTTGCATGATGATAAGATCTTTAAAACCTGTTAAGAATCAGATGTGTAAAACTAAAGTAGTTTTAGGGTAATATTGAGATCACTGAATCACGTCAAGAACACAGTGATGATGGCTAAACTAGATCCAATATTAATGGAAACCCTAATGACTCTTTAAACAGATGAGATGTGTATAGATTACACAGTCTCCTGCTTTGATACCAATTGTTAGGATAATAATCCTTAAAAGATCAATTAGATTAAAAACATATTGAAAAAAAACACACCAATGGATCAGAATATGTTGAATGATTAATAGTCATTGCCTCAGAAGAACTCGATTAAGAATTGCTAATGTAGAGGCTTGATTAGGGTTACATGAATATTACCAGAGTTACAAAACACGATTAATGCATGCACTTTAAATACTCTAATCCTAATCATTAATATCGGCTGGATAGGCCTAACCCGGGTACAAAAATGGACTAAATAAACCAACCCAATGACGCAACACTTTTACCCTACATGGATAGTATTTCCAACTTGTAATTAAATCAAATCGTGATTTAATTAAATTGAGTTTGATAAGTACTTAAACTAGTTAAGCATGTCATATGTTACGATTAATAAATTAGGGTATTTAACTTACCCTTGAGCTGTGATCTATTGAACATGGTTTCATGTTTAGTTTTGAGATTGAACTTTGGCACTCTACAACCTAGTTGGAGTATTCACATATCAATGTGACTACTTAGTACAAGCTATGTTACACTACTTGTTCTGAGGGATCTATTAAGTCGTGATCTAGCTCAACTTGTTGCTTCTAAAGTTAAGTTATGAGCATGCATGGAAATGATAAGGTTCTAGATGAGTCCTAATCTGTGTTTTGATGGTTGTCACACACTCCCTCTCCATCACTAGACTCCTCTATATAAATTGATGATGCATAAAAGGGGGATAAAAAACAAGAATCATTGATGATTGCAACAACTCCATCTCAGCCTAAGATGTCTAAATTAGGAAGGGATGATAATCAAAAATCAATTGTTGTAGTGGAAAAAGAGATCAATGATCACCCCATCCTAGACGATGATGCACTAAATGATGAAAAACCTATTCCAAAAGCTGGTGATCAGTCTGAGACCGGTGAGTATGAAGCATTTCTTGAATTGGGGTTTATGGTACAAACTATTGTTCCTTTGAACGTTGTTTTCCCTGATACATATTTTGAAGGGGAGATTCCACAACGAAGAAACAATCACATTGAGTCTGATAATGAGCAACCCAATCCTAGAAAAAGGAAGGCTTCCTTTTCAAGGGAGCAAATGATGTTGAAGGTGGAAGTTATTCAGCCACTAGTGGTTCTTCAGCTCCTCCTCTCAACAAATGCAAGTTAATAGTTGATTTGGAGGATTTAGTTGCAGATTGGTAGATGACCATTAAAGAAGTCAGATAAATTATGTTGGAACATAATGCCTCGTTTCAAACAAGAAAATAGGAACGTTAATCTATCAAACTTGTTCAGCACCTTGCATCAGCTGATGTTCAAAAAAACCATTATTCAGTGTTTCAATGTTGATGTGGCCAAATGAAACAATGTATCTGAGCTGAGTGATTAAATAAATTGGAAGAAATTTGGGAATATTCTAGGTCAAAGATACCAACATGATTGCATAATCATAGTCAAATGAACCGAACCCTATAACGAACCTCTAAAATTACATCTGGTAGGGAAAAAGGTTGAGTATGAATAGATTGAAATTATATTTGCTCATGAATTGGTTAAATATGGCTACAACGAGGGGATACAAATTCAAGAGATAATTTCTAAACACAAAGGTGTTCATGCTCAGGAGGTAAAATTGGTTGTTCAAACGTTGATCAACAAATTCAAGAAGGTGAACTTAGTAAATTCACCTGGCCCATCCTAGCTATCCACTTCACAGAAAACTAGCAAGCCCATAATGTCAATATACACTAAGTTTCTTCTTTCCTGATGAGTTTTACATGCAATAATGTAGATAATTCCCTAACAATTAAGGATACATGAAACCTATTTTATATATATATATATATATATATATATATATATATATATATATATATATTTCATAACACTGTTGAAGTTACACTCTATTGAACAACAAGAATCTTATGTACCCTAGGTATTTTTTAAATTGGCAAAAAAAAAAAAAAATACATACGTTTTGGTTGTTGTAGTAAACAATCAAAAATCCTTTCTTCTTTGATTTGGAAGCCAACATCACAAGTGTCATGAATTTAATGGTTCACACCCAAACCCTAGCAACAAAGGAAACTTGAAGAGAGTGGATAGAAGAGACAAAATTTTAGCTATACTCTTTAGGAGTCTAGTGGCCAGAATTTAGAGGCTGTGAGATCCTATTTATGGCTAACGAATAAACCTTAGATAACCCTTGTTGGGGCTTAACTGTTGAGTCATTGTGGGCATATAGTTTAGTCCTTTTTGTATCCGGGTTGGGCCTGTCCACCTACTTATTTATTTTTAGGGTTTAGCTATTTAAGGTACGTGCATGCATCGTATTCATCGAGCTCTTATAAGGTTGTGATTTATTAATCATTCAACATATTTGATCTTCATTATGTGTTCTTCATTTATTTACCTGTTTGAATCTATCGATCATTTAAGATTTATTCTCATCAATTCGTATCAGAGCAGAAGACTGTGTAATCCATACACATCTTTTCTGTTAAAAGAGCCATTAGGGTTTTTGCTTTAATAGAATATGGAATCTGTCTTCTTCTTCGACTTCATCAATTGTAGACAGTGAATCTTGATCTTTATTTTATCCTAAACTCGATTTTAGGTTTACACATCTGGTTCTTACAAGTTTTTATCAAATCGACAACATACAGCCTGACGATTCTCACGTTAACTTAATATATCTCTCAAGCAATATTGGATCTACAACAAGCATCCCTATACTCTTTCTAAATGATTATGAAGCGTGGGCACTGCATTTTAAAGATTATGTCCTTGGTCTTGAAGATAATGGCTCTTTGATATAGGATACCATGAGTGTGTAGACGTTCACTGATTCTAGAATAATGAGAGAAATAAAAACTCAAGCCGATTATGATAATCTTCTTCTACAAGTCAAAGACGTTCTACACGATGAGAAAGACAAGCTGATCAAAAACATTAAGGCAATGAGGATTATTAAGTTTCCTTTCCCCCCAAATACATTTCGAATGGTATGTTCTTGCGATACAACAAAATCCATTTGGGATAGGCTCAAACAACTCTACTCGAGTGATGATGATCTTGAGCACTCTACTCAAACGCTCCTGCTTTCGGAGTTTGGAGCCTTTGTTCAGAAGCCAGAAGAAAGTCTCGACCACACATTTAACCGCTACAATCATCTTCTAAGCAGGATGATGAAACATAATATTGGATGTGAAGTGATAGAACAAAAATTCACGTTCATGAACGGGTTGAGGTTTGAGTGGAAAGTTTTTGTGTTCACACGAAGACGAAGTGACAAGTGAAGGAAAGGTTGTTTTTGGAATGGGTTCTTTAGCGCTTGTGGCAAAAGGAAAGAAGGTTGTTGATGATGGTTCGAAGTCTGATCTCTCCGGTTGTGAACTCTTTAAAGAAGATTATGCTTCGATGGTGTCCAACCCAAAGAGGTTTGAAAAGAAGAATTTCGGTTGCAAAAAAAAAATCGAAACTGATAGGGGAGTTATAGTTCTGAGAAGGTAAAGGATGATAGTGTGAACAACTCTCAAAAGGAAGAGACCAAGAAGGAGAAGAAACTTTTAGGTGACTCCGAGTATGACTCTAACTATTATCATGACAAAAAAATCATCTAGAAAAGGAGTGGATGCTACGAAGAATGAATGAGAAGAAGGAAGAGAAGGATGGTGAGGCTTATTTCCTCAGAAAGTTGGAGGAAGTGACGAAAAAGAAGAGTGTTGATGATGCTAAATCTTCTTTAATTGTGCAGCGACCAAGAAGATTAGTTTGGTAGAGTCGAAGTGTGGTCAACTGACTCCGAGGACGAAGAGGTTCGTATGTCGACTCACAGGAGAATCTTCTTGCCGACTCACAGGAGAATCTTCGCTATGAAACTGGTCCCAGAACAGATAAGTGAATGGGAGAGGATGATTAGCAAGGTACAGTCTCTAGTTTATGTGAAGGTTTAAAAAGAACCCGTTTAAATAATGCTAACTTAAACGATCAAACCGACAGGGTTTTGAACAAAAGTGAAGATAGGCGTATATGGATTGAGAAGTTAGAGTCAAAGTTGTCTAGGTCTAGGGACGATTTAATTTATTTGCAACAAGAAAATTTAGGGTTGTTGAAACAAGGAAACAGTTTTTGTTTAATTGCTAAAATACTTTATTTCAATATTACCCAGTTACATCTTGATTGTGAAATTCGAAAGAAAATCCATAAGATGAATTTTCCATTTCTTGAATTGAAAGAGGATGAAATCGATGCTGATTGTTATACGTGAAAATCCATTCTCTCATCTGACAAAGTTTCGGATGCTTATAGGATAGGACTGGACAAAATTGAATCTTACATACAGTCTAAAGATCACAAAAATATGTTGAAACAGCTTTTGGATGAAAATGACAAAGGGAAAATTAAATATAATACAATACATAAGTTTGACTCTCTAAGCACTAAGCGGAGTTCAGAAAATAAACTTGACGTTGAAAACATATCTCAATTCGACAATGATATTGATATGAGTGAAATCACTGTAGAGGATGAGGTTGATTGATCAGAATTTGTTAAAAGCGAAATTGAACCTACGAAAGTTCTAATTTCGGAAAATTCAGTTGAATTTGCATGAATTTCTAAATATGATTCAAATTTTTTGAAAGCGAAAGCAACTATTTTTCCAAAGGTTTAAACTTTTCCTAACCAGGTTTTCAAGACTAAGGGACTGAAAAAAATCAGACAGTTGAACTAACATCCCTGGTCGAAGAAGACAATGAGGACGAATGCGAGGAGTATTTTTGCTCTACTTCCATACACAACACGGATTAAACCAAAGGTCTCTTTGAAATGAACTCCTGGAAAACGAAGTGTAGATATGTAGCAAAACCACTGAACAAAGTTAACTCAAGCAATGAAAAGGGGAGTCCAAGTGGAACCAAGAATGTTCCAAGTGATACATCATCCGTACAGACCGAAACTCCCATTAGAAAGCCAAAGTCTAACGTTCATAAATCCTTTGAACAGTTCGCAGCTCCAAAACATCAAAGTAATGGGAGATATAACAAAAATCTAAAGGAAAGAAAGCATTTTTGGAGATCCAAATCTCAACTTCATTTATCAAGAAAAATCATCCGATCCAAATGCGAAAGTCTCTTCACATGTGAACCCTAAGAGTTTTCCACGAACTCAATCTTAGTCTCCACAAGTTTTGAAACAAAAGGTTTTTCAAAAACAATCTTTTTCAAATCAAAAGAAACCTATGGAGATGACAAAGTCTCGCTTCACTCTAAAAAAATGTGTTTCATATTCTTCCAAGACATTGTAAGATGTTAAGGGTAAAGGAAAGATAGTTTCGGAGCCTAAAATTCCATTTAAGAGGTCCAAGAAGAAAGTTGAGAAGAAAGTTGTCAAGTAACAAATCCGACATAAACAAAGCAACATATCCACAAAGGATAAGAACTTAAAAGATAATAGGATCCCTATTTTTCAAATTACAAAGAAAGAAAGCACCACCTTGGTTAAAAGATATTACTTAGTTGATGTTGCTATTACTTTTCCTGTTTCTGCGAACACATCACATGGACCCAAACAACTTTGCGTTCCTAAATATCTTTGATTATTGCAGGTGATTCGTGACGAGTAGTTTGACTCTGAATGGTACATAGACAATGGCTGCTCATGTCACATGATAGGAAGGAAGGAAGAATTGCGAGAATTCAGAGCTTTGAAGGATGGATGAAAAGTAAAATACGACAACAACTCCCTTAGTGAAATAAAAGGATACAAAATGATAAGGAATGGAGAATTTGCTATTCACAAGGTAGCATATGTGGAAGGCCTACAACACAAACTTATCGATGTATCACAATTGGTTGTAGGCACAGGCTTAAAAGTGTCATTCGACGATGAAGGATTGGAGATAGTTGAGAAGAAGGAAAAGACTGTGCTGTTGAAGTCTAAGAGAAAAGGCGAGATGAATACGCTAAATTTGAACCCCATCAAAGGGAATCCTGTGATCTAGCTGCTTAAGAGATCTTCTTCTGATGATAGCTGGCTATGGCACCAAAGACTCTCGCATCTCAATTTCAATGAATTCAACAAGCTTGTTCTTAGTGATCATGTGTGGGGTCTTCCTCTCTTGAAGTTTGATAAAGAACATCTTTGTGTAGCCGACAAAATGGGGAA